GTGTGTGTGTGTGTGTGTGTGTGTGTGTGTGTGTCTTCAGTGAGACTGCCTGAGCTGTAAGATGTCGACAGTGCTGTTTGCCTCCGTGGTTCGGGTCGGAGACGGCCTCCCTCTCTCTGCGTCCACGGACTACGAGCAGGACAAAGAGCTGCAGGACACCAAGAGACACCTCAAGGGTCTCTCCAAGAAGCTCGGACAGTTCCCCGACCGCTGCACGCTGAAGACCGGTCCCTACAACGTCAAGTAGGTCACATGGGACCTTATGTTTAATACTCATAATGTTTGCTAATTTTAAAAAGGCTCTTTACTTTCTACACACTTTGATCTAACAGACGTGATTCAGAAAGTATAGTTATGAGCCTGTCTGTCTCTTGCTCTGTGTCTGTCTGTCTGTCTGTCTGTCTCTTGCTCTGTGTCTGTCTGTCTGTCTGTGCTCAGCGTATCAGTTAACACTGCATGGCCTCAAAGATAGACGAGCTGCATGTGAATGTGTTAAATTATCTGTGAACGTGTGAATTTTAGGCACAAATATGCTGAAATGTTTCAGAATCAGAAATGTGTATTGTGTTGTTGTTTTTAATCTGCTCTGTTTTAATCTTGGTGAACTAATAACAGTTTTACGAGTGCGCTGGGTGTTGGATATCTGATGGTTTGCACCTCAAACTACCCGAACGTTCTGGCCTTCTGCTTCCTGGACGAGCTGCAGAAAGAGTTCATCGTCACCTACGACCCCAAACGCATCGGGAGCGCTGTGAGGCCGTACTCCTTTATCGAATTTGGTGAGCAATGACACAGTTTAACGTTAACCATCAGTGTAAATAAAGTTTAACGTTAACCATCAGTGTAAATAAAGTTTGACGTTAACCATCAGTGTAAATAAAGTTTGACGTTAACCATCAGAGTGTAAATAAAGTTTGACGTTAACCATCGGAGTGTAAATAAAGTTTAACGTTAACCATCGGAGTGTAAATAAAGTTTRACGTTAACCATCGGAGTGTAAATAAAGTTTAACGTTAACCATCAGAGTGTAAATAAAGTTTAACGTTAACCATCAGAGTGTAAATAAAGTTTAACGTTAACGACCAGAGTGTAAATAAAGTTTGACGTTAACCGTCAGAGTGTAAATAAAGTTTGACGTTAACCGTCAGAGTGTAAATAAAGTTTGACGTTAACCGTCAGAGTGTATATAAAGTTTGACGTTAACCGTCAGAGTGTAAATAAAGTTTGACGTTAACCGTCAGAGTGTAAATAAAGTTTGACGTTAACCGTCGGAGTGTAAATAAAGTTTGACGTTAACCATCAGAGTGTAAATAAAGTTTGACGTTAACCATCGGAGTGTAAATAAAGTTTAACGTTAACCATCGGAGTGTAGATAAAGTTTACCGTTAACCATCGGAGTGTAAATAAAGTTTACCGTTAACCATCGGAGTGTAAATAAAGTTTGACGTTAACCATCAGAGTGTAAATAAAGTTTGACGTTAACCATCGGAGTGTAAATAAAGTTTAACGTTAACCATCGGAGTGTAGATAAAGTTTACCGTTAACCATCGGAGTGTAAATAAAGTTTACCGTTAACCATCGGAGTGTAAATAAAGTTTGACGTTAACCATCAGAGTGTAAATAAAGTTTGACGTTAACCATCAGAGTGTAAATAAAGTTTGACGTTAACCATCAGAGAATCCAGAGCATCGGGTAAATCCTGACTCCTTGTTATTGACTTCCATCCATCAGACACCTTCATCCAGAAGACCAAGCAGCGCTACAACAGCCCTCGCTCTCTGTCCACCAAGATCAACCTGGCTGACATGCAGACGGAGATCAGGCTGCGACCGCCGTACCAGCTGTCTGCGGAGGACCTGCAGGCCGTCAACGGGTTCTCAGCGCGCACCTCCAAGTACAAGAACATCGGTACGAGCTGACTCACTCTTGTGTGTGTATGTATGTGTATGTATGTATAAAATGCACATCTGCTGATGAGTTCTGGTTCAGTTCTGCACCTTTTTAAACAACATGGAAGAGTCTGCAGGTCTGATGTGAACCGGTCTAAAGCCCAATAACAAGTATTGTTCCTGTTCTGGTGCAGTACAGGAACAATACTTGTTATTATACACTCAATACTTTTACTAAAACACAGTACCGGGTGTAACAGTGAGTCCAGTATTGTTCCTGTTCTGGTGTAGTAGAGGATACTTTATAATAGTCACATGACACAAAAACAAACAAAGGAAAAAGGTTTTATTTGTAAAAAGCGGCTGCTGTTTAAAATACTATCGTCCCCTTTAGACATTTAGACATTTAGACTGAAACGGTAGAAAAGTACCAGCGGTCCTGTTCGGCTCCTCTGCTGCTCCATGTTTCAGCCTCTCCTCTCGTGCGCTCCGTCACTCCTCAGCCGACCTGAGCTAAGCGATGCCACCTTGTTGTGCCCCCCCCTCCACGCTTTGTTCACTTCCTGTCGGTCGCCCTTGCCAGTCTCTGTTTTTTCTCCGAACATAAATCATTTTGTCCCGAGGGATGAAGAATATGCTAATCTGATAACAGTGACGCGTCGTTTCTACCGTGCCAGAATATTTATGAAGTCAGAGGAGTTAGGGTTAGCTGAGGATGTAACCTCGTCTCCTTTCCTTTCTCCAGCTCCCTCCCAGATGTTGGAGCCGGTGACTCTCTCGGGCATCGTGTCCTGTGTCCTCAGCGTCCTGTGTGGAGGCCTCAACCTGCTGAGAGGAGTCCACGCTATAGAGAGCATCCTGCAGGTGAGATGAGACCACGTCAGACTTTATTACACGGTTTGTCGTCGTAAGACAGGTTTGCACAACGACATTTAGATCGACGTCCCAATTTACTTGTGTCTCTCTTCAGGTGAGCAGGTTGTCTGGGGGGTTCAGTCTGTTAACATCCGTAGAGCTCTGCGCAGGCACCTCTTGTCACCAATAAGCTCAGTAGACGTTCTGGTTTAATCCCCCGCTGTAGAGCCCTGATGTCCTAATGGACCCTGAACGCCTCATGACAGCTTGTGATGTTTCTATTGCTCCTCTTCAGAAATGCAGCCGTTCATGATCTTTAACAATAAATAATATACAATGAATGAATGATGTAGATCATTTCTATAAACCTTTCTTAACCAAAGGTCTGGCTGAACTGGGAGGTTTAGACACAACAGACCGGACCGCTCTGTTCTACACTGAACACGTGAGACGTATGAAGACCATGAAGTGCTCTAACGAGTAAATATCATTTTAACATGAATACGGAAAGTGACAGAAACGATGTACTTTAAAGAGTAGTTCTGCACCATGTAGTCGTGTTAACACACTTCTTGTTCAAACAGGGAGGTTCACTGACTTCACCTCCACACAAAGTGGTTCAGATCGTCCGCTCCATCGTGCTTCCCTTTGACTTAATTGTGGAAACATTATCACACATTGTAATGATCGTCATAACCCATGAACCTGTTTAAAAACAGATTTAAACTGTCCCTAACCTGAATGTGTTTCAGTCTGCTTCATGCCGTCCGTTTGCTTCACATTCTATTGAGCTAGATGAAAAGATGACGTTCATTTTCTTGTCATGTTGGTTTTCGGACGCCTCGTCTAGACACGGACGACTAAACTAAACCTCCTCCTCCTGTCTGCAGAACGACGACGAAGACTTTAATTACGTGATTGCCTTCTTCCTGGGCACGGCGGCCTGTCTGTATCAGGTAAGTGATGCTCTGCAGTGAGAGCGACTCGTCTCTGGCTGACTAACAGCGCTGCACTTTACAGCTCAGCAGCCTGTCAGCTCGACTAACATTAGCAGAAAGCTCTGAGCCGCTCGACCGCCGCTTCCTTCTCTAAAGCGTTTCCATCAGCTGCTGAATCCACGATGAGAGGAACTGATATCAGACGGGCTTCTTATTTAGACTTATTGTCTCATGAAGGACGTTAATGATGGAAACATGTCAACAGAGCAAGGTTCACGTTTTCCATGACTTATCCAGTGTTTCACATTACCTACAGTCTAGTTAGTCCTGTTACAGCTTCATAATGAACCGTCTATATTCATACAATCTCA